AAATCGACGCGTGTAGATTAACAAAGATTTTATACAATTAGAAAGACTGGTGATTTTAAATTTTAACAAGCAGTGTAACAGCTACGTGAGTGATACACACCTGATGATGGCCATTTAGGGCCGAAACATGTAGTGTGGAGGAGGAAAAAGAAGTAAAAACTACAATAAAGTTGTTGCACTTAAGACGGTATTTGTCCATATATATTGTGTGAGTGTAACAGGATGCTGAAATATAATATTATATTGTTTCACTTTAATATCGTTAATGACATTATTCATGAATTAATTAAATTACCAGTTCAATGTTTTTTTGTCTATTAAGTCGCATGTTTATTCGGTTTCTTATTAATTCAATGTAGTCAGTCAGTGTGTTTTTCTTGAAATATTCGAATGGTGATGATTGATGAGAAACTACATAAACAATAGAAATTGCTACATAACCAAATGAACATTTATTAAACTACTTACATTACTGGTTTGTACTTGAGAACTGGCATCTTTTCCGGGATACAAGAGAGTTAATGTCAGCTACTTGACTCTATGAAGATGCTATTTTTAGGATGGAAAACAAATGTTCTGCTGTTAGTCTTCATCTGTGCGTGGTTTCGTTTGCCTTCACGAGCGAAAATAACTGTTCACAGAGGTAGGTGGAACCAAACATGGCCAGTATTCTCGCAGCAAACTGGCGCATTTTAGAGCACTGGCTTGGCAAATAAAAAAAAATTGAGGGATACAAATTTCATTATATTTGTCTTTCAGTATTGAATCACACTGCATTTCAATTAGTTCCATTTGAATGTTACTATCTGCCTTCTGAACATCGAATGAGAATGGAGCAGTAAACAAAGATAAATCGTTCTCCCACGATTTGAAACCTTTAAAACTGTTTTCAGAGTCATTAATTAAGTCCTTTATTTGGGAAACATAACTGGTAAAATCAGAATTACTGTGGGACTTTTTGAAATCCTGGCAGGTAGGAAAATGAATTAAGTTGCCATTCTTCATCTGTCCTTTCCAAAGTTTGAGCTTTAATTTAAAAGCCTTAATACTGTCATACAATGAAACTACAAGTTCTCTTTTCCCTTGTAGCTTTACATTTAAGTAATTTAAATGACAGATAATGTCCACCATAAAGGCCAAATCCTGAACCCAATTATCGTCACAAAGTTTGTCGGGTGATTCGCCTTTAATTTCCAAAAAAAATCTTAATTTCTTCTCGAAGAAGCCAAAAGCCCTTTAAAACACTATAACATGAAAGCCAGCGAACTTCTGCATAGTACGGTAGACTCTCAAATTCACATCCAGTGCCTCTAAGTAAAGAAGAAAACTGACGTTGATTCAGTCCCCGAGATCGAATAAAATTTACTACTTTCTTCACAAATTGCAACACATGATTCAGTTTTATGATTTCTGAGCACAGACCTTCTTGGTGAATGATGCAGTGAATATGGTGAAACTTACAACTAGGCTAGACTTCTTTCTGCTTGGCCATTAACTTAGCAACAAATCTGTTCTGTTTTCCCCTTCATAGAAGGAGCCCCATCCGTTGCTACACACACAAGTTTCGATAACAGAAGATTGTACTCTTCTAAGAGCCCATACACTTCGTTAAAAATATCCTCACCAGTTGTTGTGTTTTTAAGAGAAATTATGTCTAGTAATTCCTCAGTTATAATTAAGTCAGTATCACAGGCCCGGATAAACACAGCTAATTGTGCCACGCCACTAACATCTGCACTTTCATCAACTGCAATAAGAAAATGCCGTGAAACTTTTAACTTTTGCCAACAACTATTCACTTAAATTAGTCGCAATATCAACTCTTTCGGCAACAGTGTTTCGTGACAAGGAAATGTTTTTGAAAATTTGAACCTTATCGGACATAAATTTCTGCGGTTTTTACAAGACACTCTTTTACAAACTCACTTTCGCTAAAACATTTAGAATTCTTTGCTATACGTTCTGCAATTACATAGCTTGCTTTAACAACGGCTTCATTGTCTCGTTTCACGTTCGTAAACAAACACTGTTGCTTGACGAGTGCAGCCTTAAAATCCCGTAATTTATCTTCCCTCGACTTTTCTTTACACTGGTCGTATTTTTCACGATGGGTTTCTTAATTCCGTCTTATATTGTACTCTTTTAGAACACATATTTTGCCCACAAATCAAACATGTCATTTTACCTTCTATTTCACAACAAAAATAAGCGATATCCAATTTTTCTTGAAAAACACTGCGCTCACTTGCAATAGTTCTTTTTTTGCTACTTGAATTTTTTGAAAGCGACTTTGTTACTGTTTAATTATAACCTTTATACACGTTCATCACAATGTAACATCAGCACCTGTCACTGTGTGAAAATGAACTGAATGACAAAGTTTGCTAGCAGCCCATTAGACAATGGCTGGGGTTTGCTAGCTAGTTTTGAAGGTAGAAATCCCTTGCACTTGTCTGTCAGTTGCCACCCTCTTTGTATTCTTAGTATGCCTCCAAAAGGGATTCTTGGAAATACTTGGGGTGGTGAGGCTGTGCGGATTTTAGTTCATTAACCTTCTGGAATACAGTAGTTTGTCCTTCACGAACTTTACAAACCGTTAGTTGGACAAACCCTTCTGCAATCCTCAGAATCACTTTTCCTGCAGCCTGCTAATTTATGTCTGCGTGAGACTTCTTGTCTTCTGGTCTGTTGGAAAATTGTCTTTACAAAAAATATTTCTACTAACATTTTAATATTGATTTTAATATCAATTAGCTCTAAAAGTTGAAGGGCCGCACTTTGTGGCTATGGGGGCCGCATGTTTGACATGGCTGGTGTAGATGGTGTCAGTGATTCAGAGTAACGTACTAGCACCATCTCCAGAGTAGAATCTAGACTACACCGTGTCATAAGCCAGAAGAGTTGACTGCATTCTGAAGATTACTGACAGGAAGGACATTACCGGAAAATATACCTTTCAGGGATAGCACAAACAAGGTATTCTCAAATAGACCGAATACAACGTATGGTCAGAACGAGTTCCTGTGACCCTAGGGTAAATGTCTTACAAACCCTAGGTCGGGGAGAAAACTACATATTAATTAGAAAATAAATGTCAATATTGTCACGTATTTTGGGGTTTGCGTGACTTATAGACGGGTGTTGGATGGATGACTGGCTTTACTGCACACGTATACAATCTCTTACTACGCTTCACAAACCACTATTTGAAACACTATGTCTTCTATTTTCCACCATCTTTAACTGCTGTCTCATAGTCAAATTCGCATTGCGACTGACAGTCAGTCTTGGTGTCGAGCCCAATCTGGGGCTTATGCCAGGATATTTATTACTGTTTGACAGCTTTAGTCTTGTTTCTGTGGGGCGCCTTCTCTGACGAGTGGAGTCAGAGTCATTGTCTGCAGCAGTAAGTCATTTGTCATAATGTAAAGGTTATTTACATTTTACACGTTAATAAATGTAAGTGTATAAGTATATAAAATGTATACAGGGTCTCTGTCAGTCCGGGATCAGTACAGCAGATTGTTCCTTATTTTTAGTAACTTCCACTACAACGGCAGTCTAGTCACTTGAACTGTCGTATGCTTGACTGCCGCCAAGTTTAACCCTCTTATCCTTTCTATGCCGGGCTAAGAAACTCTCTTATTTTTATCTCGTCATATAGCCTCTGGGAGGCCCCAAGAGAAAACACTCTTTCCTAATAATTGCTCTATGGTTATTGAGGTGTTGCATAGAAACGGTAGTTTTTCTATTTTTTAGTGCGTGTTCATTTCCTCAGGAAACTATTTACCTAGTCGTTGCCAAGCAATGACCGTCCACTCTGGCTCCGCTATTCCAAATTTCAGGCATCATGTTACAACATTATCAATATTCGTTCTGTGTGTTTTTTTCTCAAGGTAGGTATGCTGTCTCTCTGTCGGCTCCCATTTTCTTCTCCAGTTCTTTTTGGTGTACTACAGTCGCTACTTTACATGAAATAAGATCTACAGTAATTCGATGGCTATTATGGGCATCTTTATGGCAAGTTCTTAAAGAAATACAGGGGAGTCTTCAGAACCGCTATGTGGCAACCGCTGTGTGGAAGCATTTCCTTCAATGAACCCTGATATCAAAATAATACAGCAATAACTAGGTCTACAACTTCTATCTTAATAAAATTTAAGAATAAAACAATATTTTACTCGCCGATCTAATATGATAAAGCTTATTTAAAATTAATTGCAATCCTTGGGATTTATGTTTCACAAGTTTTGTCACGTATTTTACATATATTTATAATTAAACTATAACAGAAAAGAAATATCCAATAATACTAAAAGTAACGTAGGTTGCCGTAGCCATTTAGAGCTTGCTAGGTGAGCCTCCCAGGCAAACAAAATTAACTATCCTACGGCTTTCGTGAATATAGAAAACTTAAGTACACTACGAACTAGAAATGAGGTTTAATTTAATATGGTAACTGAAACATTTTTATATTGGAATATATCATAATACCGTTTCGGAATGTTCCCGGATTGACTGTTACTGACCACGAAAGAGCCTCCGAATATTCCGTTATCTGGTCATGAATTTTGCCGCATGCATAGATGTACCAGAGAAAACAGCTCTAACATATCTTCCTTTACGTCATCCCTTTTCCTCATTTCTCTTCTGTCCCTTTACACCCCTTTGATTTCTCCGGCTTGTTGACATTCTCACCCCCTTCATGCACCCATTTTTATGTCAGATGATAAGTGCTGTTCGCGAAAAAGCCAATGAAACATTCATTTCAATTTGACAGCCGTGCTACTTACTTGGTTATTTCAACATTTTCCCAAGGTCGGGGTTCTCTATGAGCGCAAGCAAATCAACAGTGCTAGAAGAAATATATAAGAGATTGGCTTCTTTTGTCTGATCCTGTGCTGAGATGAGAAACCAAAATCATAACTTGCTGCAATTATAAACAATACTACAATACTAAAAGAGAATTCACAAAGGTTCCTCGATGTGAACACAATCGCTTTTTCAAATGAGGCATAAGTTTCAACTTACCCCTCCCCAATCGACAACAGGCTCCACGATACCAAAACTGGCATTTTGGTGCGGAGTCAACGGATTTCGTTCTGTAGCCTCCAAGGAGATACTTCTCTTTAACCTTATAGTTACTGTTTCCTCAGCCAGAAGGACATCGTCTTCATTAAAATTACTGGTCCTGCTTGTTGAAAAAAGCGGAGTCATTTCAGATGTTGTTGAGTCCATGACAATGGAGGCTATACTCTGGTGATCTCCTGTTTCATATACTTCTCCTTCTGTGTAACTATGAGCGTCCTGCATTAATTCAACGTTATTGTGAACAGAAGAAGCAGAGTTCGGTTGCAGATGTGAATTACTGGCGTTCTGTGAAGATTCTGTCAGTGCGAACTGCTTGTGGTCTGGGGCCAAAGTAGTTACTGAAGTTTCTTTTTGTTCAAAATCATTTGCACCTATTGTGAATGTTTGAATACTTTCAGAATCAGTCACAGTAAGTTTGGAGTCAAGCCGTACATTTGCGTTTCTATCATATTCTCTGACTGTTTCTTGTGTACTCTTACTCACAATTTGACCGTACGGGAAATTGTCTTCGAAATCTGCGGCTTCACTTGGTGTCACTGCGATGTGCTGGGTACTTAGCGTGTCAGTGTGAGTGGTATGGTCCTCCAGAACATCTCCAAAAAATATATCCGTGTCTGTAGTGGAGCCATCAATCAAAATTCCGGGAGGACTTGTCTCCTTGAGTGCATTCAGGTTTGACAGTAATGTCGGCTGCGTTGTGTCAACAGGCACCTGCCGCAACCTCTCGATGCTGATAAGCGACGATGGAACAAGAAGGGGAGGCTGTGACGTCATGTGATGAGTTGCTATTGGCGGTGTGTCTGTCGCATTAAGAGTAGTGATACTAATGACGGTAAGAAACAGCAACTGTTGAACTATATTAAATGGAACGGTGAGGTAGGGTAAGGGAAACCGACATAGGGATCCTAGAATGTTGCCCAAGGCCGATTCCACGTAAACACTGAAAGAAAAGATAAATTGTGTCAGAAAAACTTAGAAATACATTCCATATAATTAAGATATTAAAAGTGCCAGTCCTGCGATTGCTTAGTCATATCGAAATTAATCGGTATCACCGTTCTTTCAATGTAAACTACAGGACATCACAGGGTGCTCTGAACAAGGTAGAGGGAGTGGTCCACATCACAAGAAGGAGAGACCAGAATCTGTCTGGATGTCCTGGCGAACAGCAAGACCCCCTGGAAACTGAAGTCAGCAGCCAGTTGCTTCATTGACTGAATTATGCAGGCGTATATTCATCATCCTAACTGTGGCTACTACTGTGCCCTTGCTTGGCTTGGACGAAGCACGTTTCACCAAAATATCAGTGAAATTATGTCAGACTTCATGACGCACATCACAGAAGAGAGGACTCTCTGTAGTCATCATTATGAGAACCTCACATGCAGCTTGGTTTCGCTTGGAACACTGTCAACCCAATCTGTATCTGTTTCCGTCTTCAGGTGAGGAAGGAAGACACTTACTCAGTTGGACCCCTTAGAAAGAGCTAATCTCAATCACTGGACTGGATTAGCTCTTTCTAAGGGTCCAACTGAGTAGGTGTCTTCCTTTCTCACCTGAAGAAGGAAACGCATCCAGTTTCCGAAACGTCGTGTTTTCTATTTCCTAGAATCCCGGACGATGGAAGAAGTGCAAAACCCCAGTAATTCTGTGTGTTTTCCACCATCGTTAGAACCCTTTAGAATCTCTAATATAAGTTGTTTGTATCTTAGATGACATACTGAGCATTTCTCATCTCTTGCCCAGTATACGTCACATATTTTCAGAGTTCGTTACTTCCAAGCAAAACTAATAGAGGTACTTAAAAATGAATCTTAAGTCTGCGCAACGAAAGAGTTTTCAACGGTAAATTTTTTCTTTTATGTGTCAAATAAATTGTGAGAGGATCAGGAACTGCAGAATGTACGGTAATAAATAAACCCTCAAATCACCAACTTTATACTGAAAAATAACTGCTTTAATTGTAGTAACACCTAACTAAAGTTTACTTCAACAAAAGCGGTAAAAAGTAATTCCCTATTCATGAATTGTTTCATTTCAAGCCAATTAGGATAATCTTAGATAGACATGTATTGTAGGCTTGAATGTAGCTCCAATATCTTAACATATCTGCATACAGTGACAATTTTCCTGAAAAAAATACTGTTTTTAATAGGCCTAATAAATTCCTGTTCTGATCAGGTTTAATTACCACACACGTTTCACTTTCTGCCTCTTTCCTAAAAGCGCATAATGCACTTGAGCCTGTCCTGAGCAGTTCACTGCATGATCTCTTCATGTAGTCCTCCCTGTAGTCCCTGTAGGCCTTCAGGTTTACCACCTAAATTTCTTATATCACCATTCCTGCTATATTTGCACTCTTCCCATTTTCTCTGGTCTGTTTATCTCAATATACCAATTGTGTGGTTAAAAGTAGGCTCCCCATTATGCGGGTTTCTTCGACATCCTCTATTTCTCTTCATTACGTCAAAATGATCCCAACATTTGTTTTCAGACACCTTAATTTCCTTCTATGAGTGCGTATGTAAGCACATATGTAAGAAAGTGAAGGTAAGCTTGTAACAGACCGTGGAGGCCCATAGGGTTGTGAGATGTTGAGGTTCCCACATTTTATAGACAATCGGCTCAAAGATGGCGGCAAGACTGCCAGCCCTACTCGCCGGCCGTCCTTTACCCCAAAGAATATTCCAAGAATATTCCTGGTACTCATTTCTGTTAGAGACTGAGTCCATCCCAGGACCATAGTGCGGCTGGAAAAATTAGGTTAATTGAAAAAATCCAATTACCTCATCGGGATTTCAGCCGACGACCTTCCGGCTTGTAGCATAGTGCCTCAATCAACTACGCTACCGCGTGCCCCCCAAGCATTTATGCAGGTATGTATGTTATATAGTTTCAGTTGCAGCACCATTAGTTACCTCGTGGTGGCTGCGATGATCATGGAGAACCAGTGCCAGGTCTCGAGGGTTAGACCGTAGTGTGTCGGCAGTGTCCCTGTCGTTATCAGTCCAATAAGTAAGGAATTGAACACGGTGACACCTTGGCTGAGTATCTCCGGTGGCTGAGGGAGTATCTGGGAACAAAGGATCTCATTAGTGATTAGTAAAAATACTTATGCCTTCTGGACCCGTTGCTACGACTATACGTAAACTCCACGGGTACCGAAATCATGATATGTTACCTGTGTAAATTAGTTAAAGAAACTGCTGTTCGCTTCATTGCGGTCAGTGAACAAATACAAAACTCATACAAAGTGATGAGAAAAACCTGAAAGGTGAAATCAAGTATGTATTTTTCTACTGCATACGGCCCATTGTAAGTTTATGTATGATTTGAGTATGATTGTGGTCTTCTTGTTTGTGGTGCTGTGCAGTCTTGAATGTGAACATCAACGTTTCGGAGGAATATTCTGCCTCTATTTTTAGTCTTGAAGAACCACGTATAAAACTTATATAAATTCAATTTCATCGGTGTTCTCAAACAAGGCTACACTCCTACGTGGTTTCACAAAGATTTTCATTCATCACCGGTTGAACTTAAGGACAAAATGGTGACTACTAAGCTCGACCGAGATACAACAGTGTTTCTCGAGCACGAATTGATGACTAATAAGTCAATTACGTGATTTTTCAAGCAACAGAAGTTCCAGAAAGACTTGGAAAATCTGAGTTCAAATCATGAAAGAGTTAAGAATAAATTAAAGCACCTGGAACCAGGAGCGTATTTAGTCATAACTTCGTAGTTCCTAATAATGTATTGCATAGTTCTATATAGACTGAAAGAAAGAGCTTGGACGAGGGGAGTTAATTATTGTTTTGACCATAAGGATCACTTCTTTAACAAAGAAAACGCCATCATTGTTACTACACTTTGCCTATCTTACAGACCCTGGTTCTTATATTACCGAAAGCTAACATAATATTAGATCTAATAGACATAGTATTACCCACGCCAGCAACCGATGCTAGTTGTTGACCCAACTAACGAAACCATTATCACGACTAAAGTGCTGTCGTTTTAATACTTTGTGGTCAAATGTCGTGGTTACAGTATTATGATTCTTATTTCAAAAGTATAGTATGCGCCAAAAAATTTGGACTGAAATGAAAGACGTCCTGTTGATACCACTGCCTATTCATGTGAAGGCCACTTGCACTACAGAACCTTCTCAAATGCTGAAGAAACAGTCCAATCACCATGTCCCTGTAGAGTTCTTGGGTGGCGGTAAGAGCATTGCCTTCCTCATCCTCAGTGAAATAGGGGCCTAATATACCGTGTGCTGAGACGGCACACCATATCGTCACACGTGTACTATGTGGCTGTTTCTGGACGGTAACATCTGTCCGCTCAAAACCAAGGAAGCGAGTTGTCTGGCGACTACTTCCATATGAGCGGAAATAATACTCAAATATGAATACTTTTCCTCCGTCGAAAGACCCATTTCCAACAACACTGCACAACATAACTTCCTTTTCACTACTGGGAACACGTGCGGCTGGAGCTATGCCCCGTCGACAAAGGCACATGCGGGTTTGAGATGCGCGAATATCAGTACTGTATTTGGCGCATACTGTATTTTCAGAGTTTAAATAAGTCTTGGTTTAAATCGATTCTTTAGAAAAATGTGTTTACTTATAATTCATATAGGCCTATAGTGTATGTAGTAAGAAGTCAAAATTTCGAAGTGTAATGAAGAGTTATCATACGTTCCATTTACTAGCTACGAATACAATGACACCAAAGAAGCGATATGTGTATTCAAAACTTATCACATAAGCTATGTAATTGGCCGCGCCATAGCTCAAGCGGTTAGTCGCTGGCTTCCCATGCGGCGGCCCGGGTTCGATCCCGGGTCTGGTCAAGTGGGATTCGTGGTGGACAACGTGGAGCTGGGGCAGGTTTACTCCGAGTACTTCTGTTTCCCCTGCCAATCTTCATTCCACCAATTTCTCCACAGTCACCCTCACCTATCATTTGGGGCTGGTACAATAGGCCAGAAGTGGCCGCAGTTCAAGGGACTTAGTCCCAACCCACTAGCAATAAAAGAAACCTATGTAATTCGAGGAAGTAACTTGCCAATCACACTGGCCGGCCCCACGGTCTAAGCCATGAACTGTCTTCGCTCGTTCGAACGCTGGAACGTTCGATTCTCACTCGAGGCAAGGATATCTGTGTGCATTTATTCTCTCTTTGTGTTGTCCTGTGTATAGGTAGCAGCCTTGGACGGGCTGATACCCCGTCCAACGAGTCATACCGACTCTCTATAGGATTAAGAAACTGATAAACTGGCCAAGGTTCAAAGGGCTGTACGGGAGCAGTAACTCTGGGATGGCGAGACTCGAGGGCGCTTCAACTATTTAACTGCGAATGAATAATTCTTGTTTACAATTAGATCCGTAATAACTTATGTTGTCTCGCCTGGGAATTCGCGACAGACACTCATCTAGTGAAATTGCAGCGCCTGCAAAACAAGGTTCTCCGCACCATTGGCGCACATCGATCCGCGATTTGCATATGGCATTTAAAATCCCTTACGTATATGACTATATAACAAAATTATGCAGGAAACAAGCAGAAGTCATATAAAATCATGTCAGTGAGAATGTTCGCAACATTGGTCAAGGCGAAGCCCGCCATAGAAAGTATAAGAGGCTTAAACTTGGCGGCGGTCAGGCATACGATCGATCAAGTGACTAGACTGCCGTGGTAGCGAATAGTACTAGAAATAGGGCATAATCTGCTGTATTGAACATAGAAATAGGAATTAAGGCTGAGATTAAATTGTAAATGTATTGTAACGTGTTTCAATACTGAAGACGCCGTACGGATTGTTAATTGGTTTATTCAACAATCTACAAGAAACGGCTACAATTAATTATAACACAGTTGCGGGTTTCCACACTTTACAAACCCTACAACCAAAGTCTTCACGTACTAATAACGCGGGAGCTATACAAATCTCCCTGAATTACACATTCCAAACATAACTGTACTACAACACTCACTAAGTCTCGAAAGCACACAATAAGTCTTCCGCTCGCTGACTTCTTAGTTATCGCACACTCGCAGGCTACTACCTTGAGAACTGTTGATAACACACAGACTCTCGCTTGCTGCTCAGCCGGCTTTTATTCCGTTCGCTGTTGCTAGGTAGTGACGTGGCGTATAGCCTAGCAACGCTATTACCCCTTGGTGACGTCACCGCTGTTGACTCGCGTTGCATAGCTACAAGGTTGCGGGGACTCAGCTAACTTCGGCTCCGCTCGTGATGTCACCGCGGGGAGAGTGGCGGGGTGATGACTTGCCTATTACGCGAGCGCTACGTTACCGCCACGTGACGCTGGGGAGGTAGGGGTCCTCGGTAGCGCAACATGTCACAGTATGTAAATACTGACATTGGACTTACTAATACAGAGCATGACTGACAAATGACAGACCCGACCTCTCGTTAGAGAGGGCGCCCAAAATGAACAGGACAGTAACTTTTATAGAAGAAGAAAACATCTGATTCGACACCAAGACAGACAGACTGACCGACCGTCAGTCGCACTGTGACTTTGACTTAACTTGTTTACAAAGGCACGTAGACCCGAAAAAAAGGACCGCTTTTAAGACCTTGTGTTAAATTTCTTGTATTCCCTTCAGGCAGATGTCCAGAATGTAGGAAAGCACTTTGTATCGTATAATAAATGAAAAATAATAAATTTCATAGTTACTCTAAGTTCACTTTTCGTTTCTCTAATCAGTTGTTCTTGCATGTGAAATTAAAGGAGTAGGACCAGAATAAAACTGTTTAAAGCACAGTTACTTTTATGTAATTGCTTATTTGTGCCACCGTAATATACTTAACTATACACTCAGTAACTAAATCTATAGGCTAAGGTCGAAATGAAAGGAGGGCCAGCAAATAACAAACCCGAAAGGGTATGGTAGTGGATTAATCTAAGTTACTATCATGAAATTTTGAAGAGACTGAGGAGAAGCAAGAAAATTCACAGTCTTCGGGCGGAAATTTAAATCCTGGTACTCACGATTGGGAAGCAGCGTGCCATCAGCTCGGTCGGAATGTTCGGAAATATTGTCCTATCTTTGTAACTTAACTTCCGAGTCTCTTTTTTGAAGTCGAAATCATTCTTCTTTTACGTACTCGGGATTTCCAATAAACGTGATAAAATCTGCAGCAATCACTCTTTAAATCTGCTTAGCACGGCTCAGAGGTGAGTTAGAAGCTTGTCACGATGGTGCCACCTGACTTTTGCATGTTGCATGCCTTCAGACGAAGTTTATATATTAATTAATTAGTTTAACCCTATTTAAAAATATCACGATACATATTGCATGGACAGACCTTTCATAAGACAGGAGCCACGTATTCTTCAGCCAGTGAAGTAATGTGTTCCTGAATATTGGTTTGAAGGAGGCTCCATGGCCCTGGTACTGCCTCTGTCACTGCATCATCACCATTCGTGCGTAATTCGAAATATTATTGTCCTGCTACACTTTTCTCGCGCCAAAAATTTACCTGGGCGTTGAAAGTACTCGTATATTCCGATGCACTTTAATGACTGATGAAAGAACATCAAGTATTTGATTGGCAGCGTTTATAAGCATCTAAATACGGTTATCTTGACTGCTTCATTGTGGAAGTCATTAACATTTTAAAAATACGTTACCTAATCTAACCTCAAGGAGCTGAAATCTTTCTTGAGAAGCAGCCAGTTGTGCAGCTACTCAAGAACTTATCAGCATTTTGTAGAACTCGCAGTTTCATTGCCATGTTCAAAAGAGCCCTCCACTGGTCCCTATCCTGAGCCAGATCAATCCATTCCATACCACCCCATCTCTCTTCTCTGAGATCCCGTTTAATATTATTCACCCAACTATATCTTGGATTTCCTAGTGGTTTGTTTCCTTCTGGCTTTCCCTCCAATATCCTATATGGACTACTCTCTCATTCGTGCTACATCAACTGTCATCTCTGCCTCCTTGACTTCATAATTCTAATTATACTTGTCAAATACAGTACAAGTCAGGAAGCTCCTCTTTATGCAGTTTCCTTCAACCTCCTGTCACTTCATCTATCTTCAGTCGAAATAGTCTCCTCATCACCCTGTTTTCAAACAATCTATCAATGTTCGTATCTTAATATCAGAGACCAAGCTTCACAACTCTAACCGCTCATTTCGTTGGGCTCTTTACGTTGGTCTCCACTTATCCTGGACCTCTCCTTCCTTGTGTTGCGATTCACCTGCACCTCTTTCTAGACATCCCCACTGGAGTTACTGCCCTCCTCCTTCTTCTCGTGGATGGCTAGGAGTTGGGTGAGAAGGGAGGAGAATTGTGGTTGTTGATGCTGGTAGGCGAGAGTTCTGTTTCGGTACTACCATTAAGTGTCTTCCAAGTAGGTAAAGATGGAAGCATCTGGGTTCTGTTCTGTAATTGGTATAGATGAGTTCTTATCCCGGGGTCTTATACGGGTGTGGCTCGGGCAGGGCAGGAAGAATCTTTCCTTGCAATCACACTCATCACTTCAGACTTTTGCACTTAGTAATTATTTAATTCACTCCAGCTTACTGAATACAAAGGAAACTATTAGTAACACTTATTTAGAAATTTACTTATAATACTTTTATTGAAGGGACGTATTTGTAATTTGTGTCAGACTTTGCCGAAAGTTGTATGAAGAATCCCTGAGGTGGAATGCACTCTCTCTTAATCCTGAGGTCCACGAACCACAGACTCCAAGAGAAATCCACCCCTCCACTTTGCCATTGGTTACGTTTTCAAACTAGGAGTTTCCCTAAATTTGTGAATTTCCAATCATGTTGCTTTGCTATGTGACTCTGGCAGTTGCTGACCTGACGCTAAGGTTGACAGCGACTTGATGCATTACGATCAGGGGATGAGGCTCCGGCCCTCCCACTTCTAAGTTATAGCTGTTCCAAGCTGTCAGCTCTCAAATTCTCAAAGACTTTCCGACTTTGCTGAAACTGCCAGAATTCCAGGAAAGTACCAGATGCTACTTCCTGTCCACATAGCAAACCTTGAACTATGTCCCTTCTGCCTGATCTCTTTGTATTTACTTGATATTAACTTAATATAGATTTAATTAATACAAAATAGTCCACCAAATTCTGATGAACGGTAACACAACCATACAAAACCACAGGCTATATTATAGTTTTGCATTCTAATTTTTACGTTTCTAGTCAGCAGACGAGAGGACAAAAGGTTCTGGACTAAATGGTAGCAAGCATTACCCGAATTCAATTTCCTCTTAATTTCCTCCTGGATCAAATTTTGATTTGTTATAGTCTTTACCATATATTTTAAATGTGCCACATTTTCAAAAATCTGTTACCTCTCTTTCTATTATGATTTTGCCCTGCATTTTGGTGACGAGATAGCAACATATACTTAGTTTTCTTTGTGTTTACTTCTAGACCAACAACCTTACTTGCGTCAATTAAAGTTTGTGTGTTTTTCTTTATGGTATCTTATTATCACCCAGTGGATTCACGTCATAAGCATAGACCAACAGCTGATATGTCCCATTTAATTTCAGTCTCAACTGGTTTTCTTCGACCTTCCTAATGGTATATTCCAAAGCAAAGCTGAAAAGCATCTCCTTGTTTTAGACCATTCTGGATAGGAAAATTATCAAACAAATGTTTACTTAGACGGACTTCACTATATTTCTTTCAAACACATTTTATTTGTCCGAAATACCTGTAGTTCCATGGGCACCTCAATCTCTATGAGGATATTGCAAAATAACTCCCATCTAACTGAATCATATACTTTCGTTAAATCTACGAATAGCTGATGTACTGCCTCATTGTAATTCCATTTTTTCCTCAGTATTTGACGGAAGCAAAACTATGGAACAGTAGAAGAAACCTCGAGAAGCTTCGAGAATGATCGGGAAAGAGAAGGTTCTGGACGTTACGTCACCCCACGGTATTTAAGGATTGATCCGGGATGTCGAAGACAGATAAGAGACACCAGGCTGGGAGATTGACATATATCTTCTACTGTACTGTAACGTTGTGTTATGAATCTTGAAGTAGTGTACAGTGAGTCCAAAAGTGCAACTGTCATTACAAGTGACTGCTGCTTGTAACTGTCCAGTGCTCTTGTTAATAAAGAAGTGTATTATTAATATCGAGTTGTGATCCGAAGACTTCTTCACCAGGAAGACCTCTCGTCGGAGCAAGGCCCGTTAAACCCTGAGGAGGGAATCTCATTGCTCAACCCAGAATATTGTGACATGTTGCGCAAAGCCGAGCCCCCCCCACACCAGCAGTGACGCGGCGGGTGAGTCAGCGCTCCCCTCCCACCCCTCAGCGGTAACGTAACGCTCGCGTAATAGGCGAGTAATCACCCCGCATCCTGGCAGCTATGCGCGGTGACGTCACGAGCGGAGCCGAAGAGAGCCGAGCGGAGCCGAAGATAGCCGAGCCCCGTAACCGGGTAACTATGCAAGGCGAATCAACAGCGGTGACGTAACAGGATGACGTGGCACTCATTACGCAACAAGCAAGCACTGCAGCTATATAAGTGAGCTGCAGTGCTGGTACGAGTTCAGTTCCAGTGTGGCTACCGCCTAGTCGAGTTATACCGTGGCCATCGCCGAAGACATTTCCGAGTTATAAAGTAGCAGTCGAGCGAGTGTGTTATCAACAGTTCTCCAGTCAGCCGACTACAGTTGAAACATAGCAGCCTGCGAGTGTGCGATAACTAAGAAGTCAGCGAGCGGAAGACTTATTGTGTGCTTTCCAGACATAGTGATTGCTGTAGTACAGTTATACTCGGAGTGTGTATTTCAGGGAGACTTGTATAGCTCCCACGTTATTAGTACGTGAAGACAAGTGAAGACAGTGTTAAGAGATTTGTTGTAGGGTTTGTAAAGTGTGGAAACCCGTGATATTGTGATAATTAATTGTAGCCGTTATTTGTAGATTGTTAAATAAACCAATTAACCATCTCTACGGCGTCTTCAGTAACGAAACACGTTACAATATTGTCCTCTTTCTACCCCAAGCACCTCGACGTGGTTCCCAGACCACACAACGGCACCCTATCAACTACGAAGGTGCAAATGGACGGCTAACGTGGTGATTACCCAAAGCCCCCAATAAAGAACAGTTACACTATCCCACAGGAATCTAAGCGAACATCTATCTACAGTTTTCGGGGTCAAATGACGTTTGCACTTACCACGATGGAGCCTAAGAGACCAACAGATGCTGTGAGGAGTCCTGCAGCCGACACTAGAGGGTCTGCCACTGTCAGGGATATGAAGATCAGAACTCCGCTTATTGGGTTGTTCGCAAACACCACCTGCAAGAACGGCATTTAAGGACATGTTTACTTACGTCTCAAATAATAGTGTCTTTGTGGCTCGTCATGAAACTGAATATGAATTGTTAGTTTTAATATTCATTCTGGAAAAAGTAGGAGTTCATTTATTAGAGGTAACTTTCTGTCCTTAACGTTTTTTACTTTATAACCGAGGGCGAATTTTTATATTATCTTCTCTGCAGCTCTTTTAAAAAAGGCGAGAGAAGGATTAAGTTTTTTGCTTTATATACAGAAGCACTGTTTCAAATTATAATTATGCAGTCAATTTACTCTAGCAATGAAGCTCGTGTGGGCCCGTTTTTATATCTTCAAACAAAAGTTCCCTATGTATCGGTAGCTTTTCAGAACACACAGATAACAAATGAGTAACGAATGATGCTGACAAAGAATACGCTTCATACAGCGGAATTGTTCTTCAGAATATGATACTCAGTTGGCCAGAAGATCCTGCAGCGGAGAGAACATTACGAGTATATGGATTAAAATGTGATCGGAAATTAAATAAATAACATAAAATATGCATATCTTGCATGAAACTCGAAGACTCACTGCCATATTCAAAAAGGCAGCCACTGGTACCTACAGGGAGTTACATAAATCAAGTGCACAACTCTACGCCATATTCTTAGGATCATACCAGATACGTCACACACTGCGTGCGTGGCTGTAACAAAACATGGGCCTACTGCGCAGCATCTGCCGTAATTCGAGGAAGAAATCACACAAAGAAATGCCGTATTAATGCACCATTTCTCTTGCGATGACGTTATATGGAGGGTTGAGACCACTACACTGAACATATGGGCCTGATTCTGTGATTCGTGGTATTTAGAGTCGCATATAAAACACAGAGCTGATATGACAATGTATTAAAGAATATGGAAGACTTTAAGAAAATAGATTGCTTGAGCGAATACTGGGTAATTGAATGGACAATATCAAAGTAATTTATGTGGGTGTATTTGGAGAGTTGGAGAATACACAACACGATGCTGTCCAGTGGAGTAAATCTGTGGACACGGTGGTGAAACTTGCTTTCTGTAAGAGCAGGAGATTCCTAGACTAGTTAAATAACTGCCAACTTTTGGAGAGAGGCCCTGTGCAGTGCGTTAACTTACTTGATATCTTACTTCATACCTGACCATAACCTCGGAAGAGAGCGTCCACAAATTTTAATGGCGCCCAGCCGGACCCGTAGCTTCGAGAGGCAAGGTACTTTCTCAGAGGTGCACAGTCCCCAGCGAATGAGAGCCATTGCCTCGGTATAGACACCTGTTTACGAAAACAACATTGAAATAAAATCAGTGTTCGTTCAATTTATTTGCACACGATGTGTTATATGAATTTCTTAGCTCGCGATTCGCTGTTCCTAGCAAATTCCTCCCTCCTCTGAGCGCGTGGGCCTCTTGTTTCCACTTCTTTCAAGCTTACAGGATCGTGTTCTATTGGGACTGTAATACAGAGCGAATTTTCTGTAATAGCCTCGCTTCTCTAACCTGTAGCAATGTGAGCATGAGGTACTTCAGAGTGCCACAATATGTATATTCACCGCCAGCAAAACCTCAAACCACCTATGGGATGCCTAGCCCCACAACACTGTCGATGAAAAACTGCATGCGTTGAGGTACATGTTATACAACAACTGCAAGCACAGCAGTGCCACGTTCCTCTTAACGGCAAGAGACACTAGGTTATTCCCGAATTTATGTGGATTACTCGTTAGGCTGTGAATTGAAAAGAATTAGAAAGGGCGTAGCCTTGTCTAATTGAGGTACCAACCTGGGATTGGACTGAGGCAAATTGTGAATACTGTGATAGTCCAAACCTTTTACAACTCTTCAATGGACGCTATTGTCTTCTTTAGCAATTTCAATAGAGTGACTGATTTATTGGGGAGACCGATCCATTAGCAAGTTATGATTTGCTTTTCTCATCTGGACAGAAATAACTGCCTTATTTTGATACCTGCAGCTTGGGTGACCGGAAAGGGACGAGGCCACCACAGGAGACAAGTCTGTAGTTTGCCGAAGATGTAAATCTTATTTTGCTAATAGGGTAGCTGTTATAAAAGTGTCTTCGGAAGGGTGTAATTGAACCCTAAACTAAGAAATAACCGCTTTCACATGTGGGGTTCCGGGTTCAATAACTTTGGATATCTTTATTCTCAAAGTTCGTTATGTGATTGTCTAGTGCTGATGGTATGATGGATTTGGCAGTTAAAATCAGCCAATAGGAAACTATTCTTGTCTGGGAGAAAGGCCGTCGGTTCAAATACTATACAGGGGATGAAGCGACGCTCCCGCAGGATAGAGTGGGCAGAAGGACTTGGGGTTTTGAATTCATCAGAGGCAGACGTCATTGGGCTGAACTCTCCAAGTTTATCTAAATTTATCAGTTTTTATTTGTTTCGATTAATCTTTGATAATAATAAAAAGGGCACATTACTCCGTACTTGCTAATAAAGCTATAGTGTTTGCTTCTGAAATAAACAATTTGTGGAGAGCAGAAATAGTGTACAATATTATATTTCAGCATCCTGTTACACTCACACAATATATATGGACAAATACCGTCTTAAGTGCAACACGTATTAAAGATAAGCAGCGACACACACAGAGAGCGCCTACACTGAACAACACATGAACGGCGATAAAAACAAGAAGTGGCCGCTGCAGCACCGTAGATATAGGGCATGTACCCTGAAAAACTTTAATTGAAAAATTTGAAAAAGAAAGAGAACAAAGATCTTATAGACATTTTAACTTGAATTGGGGTTTAAAAAGTGCTAATTTAAAGATCAAATTGACGCGTGTAGATTGACAAAGATTTTATACCATTGGAAAGACTGGTGTTTTTAAATTTTTAACAAGCAGTGTAACAGTTGCGTGAGTGATACACACCTGATGATGGCCATTTAGGGCCGAAACATGTAGTGTGGAGGAGGAAAAAGAAGTAAAAACTACAATAAAATTGTTGCACTTAAGACGGTATTTGTCCATATATACAGAAATAGTGTCTTTGATTTCTAGCAGTGGACTGGTTTTAAATGTGCACTTTCGCCGTTGCTTCAGTTATTACCGTGACACGATCATGAGAAGAGTCAAGTGATCTACCGAAGCCGGCAAATAAATACAAAGATAGAAAGGGGACGGTTACAATACCCAAGTCAGGATACTCAGTCTCCGGGCCTAAAATTGATCCGGGATCTCCTGAATAAGAAGCAGGAATGTCAGTCACTCTACCACGATATTTCAAAGATATCAGAAGATACACGTTTACTCTGCTTGCTGCTTGTTTGTTATTTGCTTCTGAGCTGGAATCGTCGGTCAATTTCTACCAGACTAAATGGCCTTATTTCTCAAAGAGAGTATTTTTAAACAATCCGCGGTGAGAATCTCAGATANGGCAGCCATGCGCGGTGACGTCACGAGCGGAGCCGAAGAGAGCCGAGCGGAGCCGAAGATAGCCGAGCCCCGTAACCTGGTAACTATGCAAGGCGAATCAACAGCGGTGACGTAACCGGACAGCGTGGCTACAAGGGTGCCTATTACGTGGCCGTTTTCCCGTATTGTCCGATCGAGGCTACATAGGGAGAAGCGAAGGCTATTCACAGTCAGTTCTAGTGTGGCTACCGCAGAGTTGTACTGAGCAGTCGGCGAGTCGAGACGTAGAGTCAGCCAGTCAGTTGTATTGTGGCATTTGGAGTGTACTAATTGTGATACTGCAGGTAGCAGTGATCGTCAGATTGTAATTTGGGTGATTGTATGAGCGAATGTGAAATAAAACTCGCTACACCGAATACATCGAGAATTTATTTGTCGCGATATACCCCGCGATACGCTACAATATATATACGGATCAATTAGGACCAAAAGGGAAGTGATCCTGGAACTGAGTTATGTACAATGGATCTGTATTCTATTGAAATCTGGGGGGCAGGCAAATTTTCAGTCTCCCTGAAAACCCAGTATATTACTGGGATTATTGTTCATCCCCAGAATTACTCGAGCTGTTAAAGACACTCGATTTTAACTACAACGAAAACCCCCAGTTTGAGGACCTCATAATATTCATCGGCTGTACCCATGCGGATTCAGTTCTGTAATCGAGTCGAGTTTTGGCATAATGTTCCCCTCTTAGTCTGCTGACAGTCAAGTATCTAATCCACCCGCTGTCATTCACCGACAAGTACAACTCAGACCTTTGCCCTGGTCCAACCCGAATCCACAACCGAACTCTGCCAAGCACTTGGTGTCTATAAGGACTCTTGTTCCTTATATACATGCAACAGAAATACTGTAAAACTGTCATCGCAGCCTGTCAAATATTAATTTTATTTATGCCTTTAAGTGAAGTATTTCTTATAATGGAAGAATCTACACCAGTACGGAGGGACAGAAATTTGTGTAGTCTTAGACTCGAACCGAGTTTGAACTAAACCACTTTTCTATCGGTAAGAAGGATGTCAGTAAGTGGTTTCGGAATGTTTTTTCGAAGAACTCTTAAAAATATACTTCCTGAATCAATGATCTACTCACTAGGCTGAAGATGTGCTCGTAATCAAGTTAAGCGGTGTCTTACTCCATTAACTGGAAGGCTTGTAGGCACTAACTTACTGACTGACTGACCTAATGACATGTTCATTGAGTGATGTGTTTACTTAGTGGCCGCCTGGATATTTCACAGATGTTCCTTTCCTGCCTAGCTGTTTGATTTATCGATATATCACTGTCTACCAAATGAACATATTTCGTGCCCAGCAAACTGATTGATGGGTTGATTGAAGAAATATTTTTCCATGAATTTCACAACTCATGGTTTCTCTTTTTTCCATTATAGCAGTAAACGCTTCATAACACCCACCAAGATCACAATAACTTCACTGCATATAGGTTATGTAATTATACACTTTGTCTATAAATATCAGATTAAGATTATAACATCTCAACTAAACCGAGTTTTAATATCCCTTCATCTTATGGTCATTAACTGTAGTTCTGTGGCCCTTCTGTTCCGAATTACACGTAATTTTGCGTGTAACTATTGCAGGACATTTGAAAATGAACTCATTGCTCAGTTCTGCTTCCGAAAGCAAGGTGTTCGTACCACGAAAAGGAAATTCGTTCGCATTAATACAAGTGAGACGCAGGTTCCGCTCCACGTAGAAGTAGCTTATCCTCTTCAAGATCGCTGAATCTGTTCCTGGGTGTACTCATTTAAGCAGTTTTGAAATGTACGAGCGTTTAGTTTCGACTCTACGTCCCAATTTATTTGTGTGAACGCCGGCAATTTTTACAAAGATTCTGTCAAAATTGCAGATTTACTACAGAAATCATAACGTGTTCCTGGAGTTTAATGTAAGGCTAAATGTAGGAGGAGACTGGAATAACCCAGTTGCTCACAGTCTTCTCGCCTAACGTTTCGGGTCACCTAAAACCACGGTCAGCTTCTTCACATCCTAATTGATGCTTACAAGTATTTCGACTTTTTCTTGTGCTGTCTTGTGTTCGCCCTTAGAAAGGACTCATAGCATCTCTCAATGCTGTCCTTGGTTACAGAATTCGGCGTTATGGCATCGATAATTCTTGACAGTGGCAGTGGATTACTTGGTACGTAGCATAACGGAGTCACTGAGGAGAGGGTGAGACTGTTTAAAAGTGAAGACAGAGCACTAATATTGATTAAACTTCTGTTACTACGGTGGCAACAGTTGTTATTATCTGTAACGTCTCATTTAACATTCAAGAAATCAAGACGTGTTTATGGGGTTTGTATGATTCTAAAAATAAACAGCTGTTATTTTCTTACGCAACTTTAACCGGCTGGGTTTTCGAATGGAGATGCAGGGTCTTTACTTGCTAGGTGTGAACTGAGTTTCTAAACGTTATTTAGTTCAAAGAGATAAGTTGCAATAGAAGGTGAACCAACTTTGAATAATCCATCAGTTATATACTGCGAGCTATTTCTTTCAGTGCTCCAGTGTACTCGTATCTTGCAAGAGTTGAGTGCACTTGGTAGAGGTTTTCCATGGAAACACAGTCCGTATCTTGCATTAACCGTTTCCTTCCTTCGCCCTATCTGGTTGCTGCTAGGTGCTCATACAGTGCTTTAGCTGATCCGTATCAATTTCTATTTTGTCATTATGCAACGATGTACGGTAAGGGGTAAGGCCGTGTCATAGCCCAAGCGGTTAGTCGCTGGCTTCCCATCGCGGCGGCCCGGGTTCGATCCCGGGTCTGGTCAAGTGGGATTTGTGGTGGTCAAAGTGGCGC